AAGAGAACAAACCAAAATGAACCCTTAAAATGACAATAGAAACAAGGCTACCAGAGGGGCAGAGAGGAAGTGAAGTGCAGATGAGGCCCAGTGAATATGGTGCAGGATTTAGGGGCTTTAGTGGTGGGTGTGGTATAATAACATACATTTTTGAGGTGTGAAACTATATCCATAGAATATATACAGTGTTATAATCAAATTTACCCAATAAACATTAAAACAATTTATTAATAAAGTCAGCTTCTTTCAAGACAGAAAGAAAAAGGAAACCAATGGGGCAATAATTCATGAATGAATGAATGCCACACTGAGATACTAAATGGAAACGAAATACAGCAGAACATTTCACAAAGCTCACATTACCTTAGTTTCAAAATCTACGATTTTGGATAATGTAGAACACGAATCATCAAAGTTTAGTTTCATGGGACGCCTTTAGAGATAAAATATACAACAAAAATTTCATTTCTACATTGAAAAATCAAGTGAAACTTCGGCTACCTACATGCTAAATCAATTTTCTTTATATAATTCAAATTTGGATCATTTATTTTTTTCAAAAAAAACTTTTGTATCTATTTCTACCTCTATTTCCCCCAGCCTGTAAATGTCCAATAAAATTCCATTCTTGTGCCCATAACAAAAAAATTAGAGCTTCTGAGAAAAAAGTAGTTCTTACAAAAGTACTGATGGTTACATTGAAAATCCAATTAATAGATGGCATAACTTTTTATTATCTGAACTACAATAAACTGATAACCTAAAGAAAGAAGAAAGGTATACTGTTTCTTCTTCAAACCTGTCCTTGGTTCAAAGACCAATCTATGTCAGTCAAAAATGGCAGTCTTATTCCTTCAGCATGCAAACCACTTATTAGGATTCATTCCTTCCCTTCACTCTGAAATTGTATAGGGAGTCCCTAAAATGTTTGAAAACTAAATGTACTGAAGTCAAAAGAATAATTACTAATCTCAGAGAAATTAAAACATTAAAATTATAAATTATGATTATTTTTTCCTATATAGGTCCTGCCTTTTTCAGGTCCCCATAAACTGCAAGCCTTTAAAAATGTTCATAAGTAATCAGATACCCAAGGAGAGAGACTACTGCAAAGACAATGTCCTGAGTTCTGCCACTATTTCCCTTGCATACAATTTAAATATCTCCCTTACTACAGGGCTCCCATTCCCCCACATCTACCAGGCTCAGTGGCAGTCTCCAACCTCTAAATCTTCAACCTATGATGGCACAGATTCCAGAAACAAGGCTGGGCTGGGCTCAAATGACCAAGAGTAGGTCATTTCCCTGCTGCTGGAAATAAGCGAAACAAGCTTATGCACTCACTACCAACACAGGCCTGTGATCAAGCAGTCAGATGAGGCCCTGTGACTGACCTGACAGTCATCCTAGCTCCATGCAACCCTGCCAGCACATGGACAGGGACATCGGTGAAATGGAAAGAGAGGCCGAGACTAAGAAACACCTGCCTTAGGTGAAAGATCTGTGTAGGTTAGTAATCTCAACTACCGTGGTAGGTGTGGGGGATCTAAGGCAGCTTCTGTCACTTGGGGTGGAGGAGGATCACAATCCTATTTTCTATACAGAGACACTTCCTGGTGGCTCATATTGTTTTATGTGTTTTATAAATGAAGTATGCTAGTTCCCTCAATTCAACAAAAAAGCAGCAAACTATTTACTCTCCTTAAACTTTCTATTTAATATGCCTCTACTTAATATTCCCAACATACTTGTTCCTGTAGTTTCTCTTTATATAATTTGCATAAACTCCAATATTTTGTAACTCTTTTCTAAAACCCTTATTCCTATCAACTCGGTGGTGGTATTGAAGTTTGGCCGCCTCTGCTAATTCATTCTTATCTTCTTCCATTGTGTTCACTAGATCCAATTCCCCTCTCTTTTATTAAAAACTCACCTAGAGACAATCTCTTTTAAAAAGGAAAAATCTGGGCCTCCCCAGTGGCAGCGGTTGAGCGCTGGGTTGCAAAGCTGCCCCGCAGCCTCTGCAGCCCGGTTCGATCCCAGGCTGCTCCCCGGCCACCGGAGGAGGGTCCCATGGCGCGCAGACCTCTCCTGCTGCCCGCTGTTCCCCTCAGCAGTGTACTTTGGTCCTTCTGTCTGCTCTGCTCCCCGCTATGGCTCTGGTGAATTCTCTCACCCTCCCGCACTTCTGACTGTACCCAGTGCTTGTATAAATAAAAATAAAATCTTTAAAAATAAATAAATGATCCTTAAAAATAAATAAATAAAAAGGAACAATCTGAGTTTAAATCTCATTTTTGCCATATGCCATACCCAAAGAAATCATTTAATCTCTTTGAATTTCAATTATTCATTTGAAAAGCTATTTGGCTCAGAAGATAACACAGGGCATTTGATTGACTGAATCTCTAAGATTCTTTAAAATTCTGAAATTCTACATGCTTTTTTATTTTGCTATAGGAAATTGGAGAATAACTCCCTGGTAGACGAGAAAATTGAACAAAACAATCATCAAGAACAGCAGAAGAAAGTTAAAAAAAAAAAATCAAGAAAAGCTTATGGAACTTATAGAAAAGTTATGGAAAAGAATAAAAAGGGTATACCAAAAATGAAAGACTACAGAGTACTAGCCAAGGCTACTAGCCTAATGATTACACCAAACTATGAAGTCACAAAAGTATAGAAATCCATGAGAAATATCCTCTAAATAGATGCTGAGGTTAACATAAGCTGTTCTATAAACCACAGATCATCTTCACCTAAAGAAGAACATTTACCTCAAGGACCATAAAATATCTTACACCTAAGAAGACCTACATGATTGAGTCTTGCTGATGTAAAACTGCAGTCTATGACCATAGCTGAGATCTACCCTAAAACTTTTGATGGTAAGTGCAAAGTTTTAGTTACCACTGCCATTGTTAAATGTATTGGGGCAAATGCCTGGACTAAGCCAGCTTCTTAGGGAAACCTGAAAATAAAAATTAGCACATAACTAAATTGAACTTTCTGAGTTGGTTTGCGTTGGGTCTATATACTCATGCCAGAGCTGCACAAGTACCTAGGGACAAGAGAATGGACAGGGAAGCCAGGCAGGCTAATGGTCAAGTCATGGAGCAAATACCTTCTTAACTATGGAATCGTGGATGAACTAAGTTTGCCTTACAAACCATATAGTTTGTAAGGCATTATTGTCACATGCGATGCTTCCTGAAGCACAGTTGCCTAATTGGTAAAAAGTGGTGGGCTGGAACAGCAGTTACTTTGCAAAGCTATTGAAACAACTATATGAGTTAACAAATGGGAAGCACATAACACAGTGTCTAGCCTGAAATAAAACACTCAACGAATACTGATTGCTTTTCTCTGCATTCCATCAATTGAGACATTTTTAAAATCTGTAAAATCCTACCTCTTAAGAGTGTCCTTGTGAGAATTCTTTTTTTGCTAGTAAAGGAAAAAACACATTTTAATCAACAGTAGAAAATGTATAGAATATTAAGAGCATAAGACAGCTAACAAATATTCCTTAGGGACCAACTTGGAGACAATACTAGAAAAGAACTCTTGGGCTCCCCCCTCCTTTATATTTATGAACAGCAAGACATCTGATATCACTTATCAAAGTATATTTAATGACATTTAGTACCAACAGTGAATTGCTATTTACAGTGAGCATAATTCTAGTCAAACCTATAGAACTGACACAAAATGGTATCATTAGCAGAATCAGCATCATAAACTGACAATGTCAAACCTAAATAGCATGATTCTTCTGGATAGCCACCAATAGAAATACTTAGATGAGAGTAAAATAATTTTGCTGTGACATAACACAACTTCTCCAGGTTTTCAGACAACACCACTTGGTTTACATTAAAACATGGACTATGATGGAGGACTATGGGTGCTTTGGTGGCAGGAAAACTATACTGACCACATCTGAGAGAAGAAAACCTACATTGTGAGAAAACAAACAAGGATGTAAAGTAATGATATGTCGTCAATTTAAAAAACCAAGGAAACTTGGTCTAGAGACACTATACAATGCAGCAGGAAAAACAGGAAACACTTTCAGACTGTGACTCTAGTTTGATAAAGTACAGCCTGTGGAGACTATCTCCTTCCATAAATAGTCTCTCTGGATATACTTCATAGAGCAGGATGGTTCAGTTAATGCTGCATAGTAGTGAATGATATCATATTTCTCAACCCTCCCCATTATACATCCAACATTTATAGAAATTAGGATTTTTAGTTTGTAAGGCATTACTGTCACATGCTATGCTTATGAATAGCAGCAAAAACCATAAAGAACAAGGAACATCTTAAATGCGAACATTTTAAGCTGTATGATATGATCTACTGTATGATATGATATGATATGATGTGAACTGTAAGCTGTATGATATATGATATGTAAGCTGTATGATATATAAGCTGTATAATACTGTAAGCTGTATGATATGATATGATATGACCTGTATGATATCAAATATATGAAACTGTGTGGTACCATATATATGAAATTCTGACAAAGGCATAACTATGGAGACAGTAAAAAGATCAGTGGTATCCAGGGGTTAGAAAGAAGGGAGAGATGAGTAGACAGAGCACAGAGGATACTTAGAGCAATGCAACTATTCTGTATTCTGTAAAATACAACAATTGTGGATCCATGTCAATATACATTTTTCAAAATACATAAAATACACAGCACTGAGAGGGAACCCTAGTGTTACAATTAATTATGACTTCTGGGTGACAATGATGAGTCAGTGTAGACGCACACATTTTTATAAAGGTACAACTGTGGTGCAAGATGTTAACAGTACATTTGGCTGCACATGTTTGGGAGCCAGGATATACAGGCACTCTGTACTTTCTGCTCAGGTTTGCTGTAAACCTAAACCTTTTCTAAAGACTTTTTTTTTCCAAAGGGTTTCCTCTGACCTGCTACTACCACATAATAATTTATCAAGGCACAGTCACTTCAAAAATGAGAATAAAGTAAGCAAATATGGGTATTATCTCCCTAGCTGATGTACATGAATATATATAAAATAAGCTCTTTTAATTTTAAACTTAAGAGGCAAAATCTGATAAATATTATTGACTATGTTGTTTTCTAATTACAATGGGATTCAGCATCATAAGAATCAAATTAGATCATCTGCCTAATAAGCAATTTTTATTTTAATTTTAAATCAGAACTTGCAATGCTTATTTTGTCTCAGAATTATCCTGAGAGAGTAAGAGAATATAAAGAATACATTGTAATTATCTATAATAACCACAGTAGTTTCTGTATAAATATATGTTAAGCACTCATCAACAATCAAAAATGTAACCAGCACTGTAATTTAAGGTGGATGATGCAACTGAAACTAATACCATTTTATATCTTTATATTGCCTATTAAAATAAAATTTTAAGATAAAGCCAAACATTAAGGTTAGCATAACTACTAGAAAGATTTCAGGCAGTGAGCCTGAGACTGCTCTCCTTAGAAATTCCTGCTTGAAATGGCTGACCCTTGGTGGGTGTCTGGGAAAGTGGATTTGGGGAAGGTTCCTTCTATTCCCCAATTGCGCTAAATTAGGAGTACAAGCAATGTGGTTTCTGCTGAACATTTGCTTTCTTTCTGGGGAAGTGGAATTTCAGTACATGCTAGGGAGAGGATGTCTAGGCTACAGCAAAACACTGGAGCACTGGGGCTGGCAGACACCAACTTTACATGTGCTGTCATATTTTGAGATGGAGGAACTAGGCACATTCTGAGAATGCCACAGGGAAAAGACACTTAAAACTTGCACCTGTTTTCCTTCAGAGTTTGCCCCAGACACCTTTTCACTTTGCTGAGTTTTCCTTGCATCCTTTCACTATAATAAATCACAAGCATGAGGGGCCTCCCCTCCCCAGGGGCACAGCGGGTTGAGTGCAGCACTGTGAAGCTGTCCGCAGCCTCTGCAGTGCCAGTTTGATTCCTGGCCAGGAAGGGAGATTCCCACATGGTACAGCAGACCTCTCCTGTCCTGCCCGCTGCTCCCCTCAGCAGTGTATTTCAGTCCGTCTGCCTGTTCTGCTTTCTGCTCTGTCTCTGGGGAATTCTCTCACCCTCCTGCACCTCTGGCCTGTACCCCAGTTCTTGTATAAATGAATAAATGTTAAAAAATCAATCACATGCATGAAAACTACTATATGCTGAGTCCTGCCAGTTCAGTGAATAACCTGAGCTGGTGTGGTTAGGGAACCTCTGACACAACCACATGAAATGAAATTCTTATCTTGAGGGTTGATATGTCAGACATAATTACTGTCCACATGATATTTCACAGAATACCTTTACTTGAATCTGTGCTTGATCCTGGTCCTGAAAATGTGTGTACTTCTGTCCATTCAACTAAATGCATAAAAGATACAGATGAAACAAGGATATCAGGAAATAATATGAAACAAGTAACAACTCTATATTAAAAAGAATTTAAAAATAAAGAATACTGATGAGTGACAATATGTTCTATAGCATAAAATTTCCTGTAAAGAAAATGAAAGGCTCACATAGTCAATTTTCTTCAACTAAGCAGGGTTTATTTAATTCCTCTTTATAATAGTTGTGACACCAACAGGTAACTGGAATAATTATGTAAAAATACAACTATCACATATGTATAATAACATACTGATTATAGAATACTGATTTCTAATTCTTCCCTTAATTTCTTATAAAACTAGAAACATAGTTTAGGGGCCTCACTGGTGGTGCAGTGGGTTAAGCACAGCACTGTAGAGCTGTCCACAGCCTCTGCAGCACGGGTTCGATTCCCATCCAGTCAGGAAGATTCCCACATGGCGCAGCAGGCAGGCCTCTCCTGTCTCACCCGCGGCTCCCCTCGGTACTGTCTTTGGTCCATCTGCCTGTTCTGCTCCCGCTCTGTCTCTGGTGAATCCTCTCACCCTCCCACACCTCTGCCCTGTACCCCAGTTCTTGTATAAATAAAAATAAATCTATAAAAATAAACATATTTTAAAACAAGTCCTATTTGTTTGAATGTGATTAGAGGAAATATATACAAACTTAAATTTTAAGAACTTTTTTTTGGAAAGGCAATACTGTCTCAGATTTCAAATGACTACATGTAATTTCTTTAATTCTGAAGAACAAAGCAATTAAGAAATTTTAAGTATACAGGCAATTTGTACATCTTTTTCATTGCTCTTTCATTATCAAAATTCCTGTATTCTTATTTTTTCCTTTGTGGTAGCACCACCAAGAGTAATTCACTATCTGAAGTCTTACCTAGATCATTCTCTTCCTTCTTTTTATCATTTTCCTTCATTTCTTCCTTTTCGTTTTCATTCTTTTTGTTCTGTTGGTCCTTTCCACTTTTATGGTCAAGTATTATTTTGTGATTGCTATATGTAAAGAAAGGAAATTAATAAAATGGCTAATTTTAATACTTATGTGAATGTTGAGAGAAACCCTGCACAGTGAGCAGAAGGGTCTTGACCTGAGACTCTAAGGCATGTGAAAACTCATGCATCACGGAGGAAAACCTCTGAGTGACTGGACCTGCTGTTGAGTGCCCCGAAAGTGATCTGTGTAGGCTCATGCCTCAGTATCTCCACAGCCAAAAACCAATTAGGAGCAAAACTCCTCTGCTCTAGCTAATGAGCAATCAGATTACATATAGGAGCTGACCACCTGGCACTTAAAAGTCGAGAGTAGGCAAATATCAGCAGCAAAGAAAAATAGTTAATCATTTCAGCTGTCATTTTATGGTGCACATTGATGTTATGCCTAATGCACTCTGAGAAAGTATATAATGAGCACTAAGACAATAAAGATTCACTGCATGCTGGACATGACAGTCCCCCATGTCTGATTTCCCTCACCCTCATGTTGCAGGTCCAGGATTCAATAGAAGTCCACATGTGAACAACATTTTTATTCTTAGAATATTTCAGGTAATAACAGAAAATATCAAAATTTTAATTATCCCACACACTTCAAATGTGTAAGAGCTACAATTTGTTTTTAATCAAACAGGTAACTTAAAGGTGAAAAGGGGCTGTAGAGTGCAGAGATTAGAGTTAGATTAAAATATGGAAAGCATCTTTATGTCAAGTTTCAAATAGCCATCTGATCCTGGACAAACCACTTCCCTTTGCCTCCCTTTTCCCCTCTAAAACAGATATCTGGCTGTCCCATTCACAGAGTTATTAGGAAATTTAATATACCCACCATACCCCCAAAACAACAACAACAACAACAAAAAACTAATGCTCAGAGAAATACTGAAGCAATGAAATAATTTCTTTTTGAACTTTACTGGTAGAAGAACTTGGGATACCAAACTTCATTAAATGTGTGCTTTTTTTATAGTTCTAACAACCAAATGTTATATTTTGGCTAGTGAATGGCTCTTCCCCTGGGGCTTAGAATTCAAAGGCATCTCAGCTACTATAGAATTTGTAACTATATTTATAAATATATCACCTCATTAGATAACATAATTTTCCCCCATAACCAATCACATGAAGAACAGAAAACTAAAAATTCAAGCCTGGGTTTGACTAGTTCTATTCCTTTTCTACCTCTTCAAATTCATAATTAGTAGATCATCCTTAGAATGATATGTAATCCCCAGGTTCATATCCAACTTACCTGGAATACACAACCTGCTTTTATAATACATGGAAATTGAAGAGTCACAGATGGGGTTTAGCTTTCCTAACAACCAACTAACCATTCCACTGAATTACCTCCTTGTGAAGGAGATTCTGAAAAATATTTGAAACTTCACACAGATACAAGTCACTTGGGGGGTTTTCACTATTATGAAAAACAGATCATTTGAGGGATTAACCTTAATGAACCAGTTAGCACCCACTACTCTGAGAAGGACAATATGGCACTTTCCACAACTTATAAAAATTGTCCCACAGGATGTAAAGCAGCTTTGGGGTACAGATCTGGTACCAAAAGAGAAAGGATAATCTTAGCACTTCCTGCACCACTGCTTCAACTTCTCTGATAGCTGAGATTGGGTCCAAATAATATCTGCTAACTAAAAAGACAGACAAGACCCTCATAGGGTAATTCACGGTCAAGGTGTAGGCTAAGTTTTTTTTTTTGTTTGTTTTTTTTTTTAAATAATAAATTTTATTTTTATATTCCCCCATACAATTGCAAATGCCCCATTCTGACCCCAATCCTTCCCCTCCCGCCCCCCACACCCCAAAAAGTGTCTCTGGCTCATAGTTTTTTGTTGATTTTGATTTTCACTTTCTTATATTCATTTTCCTGGTCCCTTATTTAAGATTTCTAGATTCCTGCTATGAGTGAGACCATCCGGTATTTTTCTTTTTCTTTTTGGCTTATTTCGCTGAGCATGATCCCTTCCAGCGCCATCCATGTTGCTGCAAATTGCATGTGTTTATCTTTTTTGAATGCTGAGTAATATTCCATGGTATATATGTACCACATCTTCTTGATCCAGTCATCTATTTTTGAGCATTTGGGTTGTTTCCAAAGCTTAGCTATTGTAAATATCTGCTGCTATAAACATAGGGGTGCAGGTGCTCTTTGGAATTGATGTTTCTGTGTCCTTTGGGTAAATACCTAGGAGTGGAATTGCTGGATCATATGGAAGCTCTATGTTTAGCAGGTCCAGAAATCTCCACACAGCTCTCCATAGTGGTTGGACCAGTTTGCACTCCCACCAACCACGCAGAAGAGTTCCTTTTTCTCCACACCCTCGCCAACATTTGTTGTTGCTAGTTTTTTTAATATGTGCCATTCTCACTGGTGTGAGATGGTATCTCATGGTAGTTTTGATTTGCATTTCCCTGATTACAAGTGATGTTGAACATTTTTTCATATGTCTGTTGGCCATTTGCATTTCCTCTTCAGAGAAGTTTCTTTTTAGCTCTTCTGCCCATTTTTTGACTGGAATATTTTCTTTGTTGTCGCTGAGTCTCATCAGCTCTTTGCAGATTTTTGTGATCAGTCCTTTATCATTAGTGTTGGGTGCAAAAATGGTCTCCCAGTTGGTGGGATTTCTCTTTGTTTTTGTTATTGTCTCTTTTGCTGTGCAGAAGCTCTTTAATTTGATGTAGTCCCAGCTGTTTATCTTTGCCTTCACTATCACTGCTTTGGGTGATGTGTCTGTAAAGATGTCTTTGATGTGCAGATCCCGTAGTGTTTCGCCTATATTTCCTTCTATGTATTTTATGGTTTCAGGTCTTATGTCTAGTTCTTTAATCCATTTTGAGTTGATTTTTGTGTATGGTGTGAGGTAGTGGTCAAGCTTCATTCTTTTGCATGTAGCAACCCAGTTTTCCCAGCACCATTTATTGAACAAACTTTCTTTGCTCCAATGCATAGTCTTTGCTCCTTTGTCAAAGAGTAGTTGACCATAAATCCGTGGGCTTATTTCTGGATTTTCTATTCGATTCCATTGGTCTGTATGTCTGTTCTTGTGCCAATACCATGCAGTTTTGATGATTATGGCTTTGTAGTATAGTTTGAAGTCTGGGAGTGTGATGCCTCCATTTCCTTCTTTTTTTTCAGTAGAGCTTTGGCTATTCGGGGTTTTTGGTGATTCCATATAAATTTCATCAATAATTGTTCTATTTCTTTGAAGAATGCCATTGAGATTTTGATTGGAATAGCATTGAATCTGTATATTGCTTTTGGTAGGATGGCCATTTTAATAATGTTTATTCTTCCAATCCATAAGCAGGGGATGTCTTTCCATTTCTTTGTGTCTTCTTCTATTTCTTTTAACAGTGTTTTATAGTTTTCTTTGTATAGGTCCTTTACCTCTTTTGTTAGATTTATTCCCAAATATTTGATTTTTTTTTTGTTTCAATAATAAAAGGGATGTTTTTTTTTGATTTCTTCTTCTTCAGATTTATTGTTTGTGTATAGGAAGGCTACTGACTTTTGCGTGTTGATTTTGTATCCTGTACTTTACTGAATTGATTGATGAGTTGAATTAGTTTTTCTGTGGAGATTTTGGGGTTCTCTATGTATATTATCATATCATCTGCAAATAGTGATAGTTTCACTTCTTCTTTTCCTATTTGGATTCCTTGGATGTCTTTCTCTTGTCTTATTGCTCTGGCTAGGACTTCCAGTATTATATTGAAAAGCAGTGGTGAGAGTGGACATCCTTGTCTTGTTCCAGATCTTAATGGAATTGCTTTCAGCTTTTCACCATTGAGAATGATACTGGCTGTTGGCTTGTCATAGATGGCCTTTATGATGTTGAGGTATGTTCCTTGTATCCCAAGAATTTCAAGGGCTTTTATCATGAATGGGTGTTGCAGTTTGTCGAAAGCTTTCTCCGCATCTATTGATATTATCATATGGTTTTTATATTTCTTTTTGTTGATGTGTTGGATAACGTTGATTGATTTTCGGATGTTAAACCATCCTTGTGCCCCTGGAATGAATCCAACTTGGTCGTGGTGAATTATCTTATGGATACATTGTTGGATTCTGATAGCTAAAATTTTATTGAGGATTTTTGCATCAGTGTTCATTAGGGAGATTGGCCTGTAGTTTTCCTTTTTTGTGTTGTCCTTGTTCGGTTTTGGTATTAGTGTAATATTGGCTTCATAGAACGTGTTTGGTATTGTCCCTTCCTTCTCAATTTTTTGGAAGAGTTTGTGAAGGATAGGCGCTAATTCGTCTCTGAATGTTTGGTAGAATTCATTTGTAAATCCATCAGGTCCTGGGCTTTTGTTTTTGGGGAGGTTTTTGACTACCATTTAAATTTCGCTGCTTGTAATTGGTCTGTTTAGGTGTTCTATTTCTTCTTTATCTAGCTTTGGGTGATTGTAGAGTTGTAGGAATTTGTCCATCTCCTCTAGATTGTTGAACTTGTTTCCATATAACTGTTCATAGTAGTTACTGATTATTCTTTTGATTTCTGCTGTGTCCGTTGTGATTTCTCCTCTTTCATTGATGATCCTGTGTATTTGTGCTTTCTCCCTTTTTTCCTTTGTGAGCCTGGCTAGGGGTTTGTCTATTTTATTTATTTTTTCAAAGAACCAGCTCTTGGTTTCATTGATCTTTTGGATTGTTTTTTTAGTTTCAATTTCCTTTATTTCTGCTTTGGTTTTTATTATTTCTTTTCTTCTACTGGTTTTGGGGTTTTTTTGTTGTTCTTTTTCTAGATCTTTGAGCTTCAAGATTAGGTTGTTTCTTTGAGTTCTTTCTTGTTTTTTGATGTGAGCTTCTATTGCTATATATTTTCCTCTTATTACTGCTTTTGCTGCATCCCATACATTTAGGATATTGGTGTCCTCCTTGTCATTCAATTCAAAGAATTTTTTAATTTCTTCTTTGATCTCCTCGTTAGTCCAGTGGTCTTCCAGTAGTGTGGTTTTTAATCTCCATGAGGTAGGATAGTTCCTTGCCTTCTTTTTATGATTTATTTCTAGTTTGATGTCTTCATGGTCAGAAAAGATGGTTGGTATGATTTCAATCTTGGTGTATCTGTTGATGTTTGTCTTGTGCCCCAGTATGTGATCAATCCTGGAGAATGATCCGTGTGCGCTTGAGAAAAATGTGTACTCCGTTTTTTTTTTTGGGTTTAGTGTTCTATAGATGTCTGTTAAGCCCAAATGCTCTAGGTCCTTATTTAGAGCTTTAGTTTCTTTACTTATTTTTTGTCTTGTTGATCTATCCATTGTTGATAGTGGTGTGTTGAAGTCTCCGACTACGTATGTGTTTTCTCTGATGTCTGTTTTCAGAGAGGACAACAGTTGTCTGATATATTTTGGTGCTCTTTCGTTTGGTGAGTGTATGTTAATGAGTGTTATTTCTTCTTGAAGTATTGTCCCCTTAATCATAATGTAGTGACCATTGGGGTCTCTTTTTATTTTTTTGAGTTTGAAGTCTGTTTTATCTGATATAAGTATAGCTGTTCCTGCTTTCTTTTTTGGCCCATTTGCTTATAGGATTGTTTTCCATCCTTTGACTTTGAGCCTATTTTTATCTTTTGTAGCTAAATGTGTTTCCTGGAGACAGCAAAAGGTTGGGTTTTGTTTCTTAATCCAGGCTGCAACTCTGTGTCTTTTTATTGAAGAGTTTAGTCCATTTACATTTAGAGTTAATATTGATATGTTGGCATCTGTATTTGCCATTATGTTTGTCTTTCCTTTGATTTTATTTATTTATTCTTTTAATAACTTTTTTTTTTCTGGTCTTCTTTCGTTGTTATTCGTCCCTCTGAGGTTCTGGCTTTAGGATTCCTTGTAGTATTTTTTGGAGTGGGGGCTTAGTCGTAATGAAATTCCGGAGTTTCTCTTTGTCTGGGAAGGTCCATATTCTTTCTTCATGGAGGATAGAGAGCTTTGCGGGATAGAGTATTCTTGGTTGGCATCTGTTTTCTTGGAGTCTGTTGACTATGTCCCTCCACTCTCTCCTTGCCCGTAGTGTTTCTTCAGAGAAGTCTGATGTCAGCCTGATTGGTTTTCCTTTGAATGTTATCTGTGTCTTCCCTCTTGTCAGCTTCATTATTTTTCTCTTGTCCTGGATTCTTGGGAGCTTTACTATTATGTGTCTTGCTGTGTTTTTCCTTTCGTCGTGGAAGTTTGGTGTTCTTCTTGCTTCTTGTACATCAATTTTCAGCACCTTCTTCGTATTTGGGAAGTTCTCTTCAATTATCTCCTGGAATATTTTCTCTGTTCCTACATCTCTCTCCTCTCCTTCTGGAATTCCTATACCTCTTATGTTTCCTTTCCTCATGGAGTCAGATAGTTCCCGAAGTCTTTCTTCATTCTTTTTCCTTCGTACTTCTCTTTCCTTTTCTGTTTTGGTTCTTTTTATTTCTGTGTCTTCAAGAGTACTTATTCGTTCTTCCATTTCATCTATTCTGCTTTCATTGTTTTTCCCAGAGTTCTTTAGTTCCTCCATTAATTCTTTGATTTCCTGCATTTCTTTTATTTCCCTCTTTAGGGACTCTATTTCCTTCTTCTGATCTATCACTTTTTTAATCATGGCAATTTTAAATTCTCTTTCTGGAAGGCTCAGAAGTTCTTCCAAGTTGCTGTCGTTGCAATCTGGGGAGTGGTTTTCTTTTTGTGGTGTGCTTCTTTCCTGAGGGGTTGTTAGGTTGCGTGTGGTTCTTCTACTCCCTACTGTCTGTTTTCTAATTTGTCGTATGCATTGGGACACTGTGTTGCTCGGACTGACTGGCATCTTGGGTGAACTTCTCCGCTCCCCTCTGGCTCTTCCAGGAGCCATCTCTGTCTTCTGGGGGAGCTTTCTGCTGGTTTTAGGCAGTTTTTACTGAAGCAATGTCCCTGTTCTAAAATGGCGAAGCGGGATGCAGTCCCTGCGCCTCCGGTTTCAGGCACACTCTTCTGCACCCCCGGTCTGCCCCGGACGTGGGTGCCTGCTCCCTCTGTGGGCTCAGACTGCTGGTCGGAAGGGGCCTGGCGTGGGGTGGGCTAACTTCCCAGCTGGCCACTGGGTCCTCCAGAAGCCTTCTGCCCTTTTCAAGCAGTCTTAAGAAATTTCCTGTTCTATGGGGTGTTAGTGACTTTTTTTTCCTGGTCGCTAGGTGGCGCCAGAGATCTCTCCTATTGTCCTTGGGGGGCTGTTTTTCGCCCCCCCCACCCAGTGGGAGGGAACAGAGCGGGAATGGTAGGGTAAACCTCAACAGCTTTGGGGTGCTGTGTCTGCCTTGTGCCCCACCGTCGTGGGGAACCCACGCCCCTAATTTCGTGCCCCGGGTCTCAGTTCAAAGCCCTCAGGTCCAGGACGCGGGCTGTAGCCCAGTTCAGTGGCACGGGAATGGCGCCTTTGCACTGCTCCCGTGCCTGGGGGCCTGGTTCCTGCTTACTCAGGGAGGGACCTTCACCTCAGTGAGGACCTCCGCGCATCTCCCCGCAAGCCTAGGTCGCAGGCGCGGGGACCTGGGCCGCTGTGATCCCGGTCCGCATTTTCTTTTCAAGCGCGCCAAGCGCGCCGCCGCTTTCCCGCGCAAGCTTACCGGCAGCCCGGGCTGTGTGCGCGTCTCCCGGGGTCTTTGTTCTTCTCTAATGGCGCCCGGAGCCGTTCACTCACCGCCGCTGCGAATCCTGCAGGGTTCGCCTCAGCTCCCGTTCACGGGGTGTGGTGGCTGCACACGCACAGTCCCGCTTGCTGAGTCCTATGTTCTTGTTGGTCGTTTTAGTGTGTTGTTTCCCTCCTCTCTGCAGGTCGGAGAGTGCCGCCTCTGTGGGCGGGGGAGGGGAGCAGGGTTCTACGCTTCCCTCCCTTCTAGTCCTCTTTTATGGCCACTTTCTTCTTTGGGTAGTTTGCTGGAGTCACCCGTTTATCTTCCGTGTCCCAGTTCTCTCTGGGACCTGCCGCTTTTCTTCCCTATTAACTTTTTTTAATGGGAGATCTTACTCGCAGCGTCTCCTCGCCGCCATGTTGCTCCACCCCCTCCCTAGGCTAAGTTTTTGAGTGGGGGATAAGGGTATGTGTGGCTAAAGCTTGGAGGGGGGGCCGCAAGAACATAGTGGCTGAGCATATGACTATATGTATATGAACTAAAGAAAGTCGTGACATTGAAGTCCTAGTGGAAATCACCATGGAGATGGAGGAATCTGATCAGCAGAGGCATCCTGGGAGCAATGGTCAATAGTGACCAGACTACAAGAGCAGTTTCCGGAGCAACACTGCAGTAACAGAATCAATGGGGACAAAAAAATGATCAGCATGCCTTTCACCATTTGCCCTCCATGCAACTTGTGAAAAAGAACTGTCTCTCATGGATTTAAAGAATGTGTTGCTTAGGTTCTTAGAAAATTCAAGGGGGAAAGATAGGCAATAGCATCTAAGGGGAAAGTATAGGATTTTTTGCTAAAATGAACTTTTCAAAATGCAAATAACTAGTCAGAAAAATCAGACATGTGAAGGGATTTTGTGACATGATTTTGTAGAGTTTTGCTGGAATGAAGTGGATCACATCAGAATCCCTAAGGATAAAGATCGAAAAGTGCCCACTGCTACTCCCAACTAGTCTAGTCATGGCTTGGTTTCTGGCCGATGCTGTGGACTACCGCAATGCCATTCCACAACTGCCTACCCAAACTATGAAATCCCACCTGTTACAGAAGAAGCAGCAGTTAAATTCTTTTAATCCTCAGGTTAGCGATAGCTAACATTCTAATGTAAACACTTACTTAATATAACCATGAAGAAGAGCATACTGGTCAGCAGTCCTTCCACCCCGATCTTCAGAAGAGCAATCAATGCCATGCCGGAGGAGAATATGAATGACCTCTGGTGAATCATGGCATGCAGCAAACGCGAGGGCTGATCTAAAATAGCAGAGATAACTTCACCCTTGGGAACTTAAGTTACTTAGAGAGCTACTTGGATCTATTCTACCAAATTCGTCCCTTGCCTGTCTTTCTAGAATTGACCATTTACGTGTGCAAGTATTCATCTCTGTAACTTAACTTGAAGGCTAAAAGGCGGCATCATGTCCCATTGGGACCCATCACAGTAGAAGCCGCTAATTTAAGGCCCTTTGATGGACAAGAAACAATGCCAAGATCACTTATCTGAAATAGGTGAAGCTCTGAATGAATTATTTTCCATTTCTTCCTTAGTCTGTTGTTATCAGTTAAAGGTTAGGTAAGTAAAAGTTATTTGCAAGCTTAAAACAGTGATATTGATAATAATGGTAACAATACTCAGAGCTGCAGTTAATGATGCTGATAATGCATTGCTAAGCATCAAATTAAGTGCTATATCAACAATCTTACACAAAATGATCCTCAAAAGATATACAGTTGACCTTTGCACTTTGTAGGGGTTGGGGTGCTGACACCCAGCACAATGAAAATCCATGCTTTTGAACTCCCCCAAACTTTAACTAGTTATAGACTGCTATTGACTGGAAGTCTTACTGATACCATAGACAGTTGATTAACACATCTTTGGTATTTCTTTACATTCTTACCATAAGGAAAGCTAGAGAAGAGAAAAAGTTATGAAGAAATTGATAAGATGCATTCACAGTATTGCAGTATATTGAGTGATAGCGTAAGTTTACTCCCACCCCTTCTGCTCACTGCAATAGAAACAGGAGGTAGACGTTAAATTATTAGTCAGTCATTAGTATATATTAGTCAATTTTATGCTCTAATGATTTAAAACTGCATCTTTACATTGGTTCACATTTTCTTTGATTAAGAATGCCTCACATGCACAGTCTGTACACACAGATGGTGTACAGTGTGTAAGTATTAACAAACTTTTATTTTTTATAAAAGATTTGTATAAAATTTATGGTAGTAAATGATAAAACAGACTATTATCTATATGTAATTTATGCATTCATGACATATCTAACTTTTTCTGAATATTTTCAATATTTCAAGGCTATAGTTTGTGAGTTTTTTAAGTTGTGCTGTTCAGGTGTCAATTGTGCTATTATCTTCCTTTTCATATGAGGAGCATATTGGCTGATGATAAGCAATGTTCCTAAGGTCACACACCTAGCAAGTGGCAAAGATAGGAATTAAACCCAGGCCTGTGGAATCTAAAACACATCTCTTCTCTATCACCTACTTATGAATTTTCTTTATAAAGAAGAAACTTATTCTTTATAAAGAAGAAATTTCTTTCTTACTTCCACCCATATCAATTGAAAGTAAAAGCAGGAAAATAAACTAGAAGTGGCAAAGGAAAAAACCAATGATCCTATAGTATCTAGTAATAGTAATTAATATTCACATAGGGATATAAGCTAATATAATTAGTAATCTTCAAAGAAAGCAATTTATAACAAGTATTATCCAAAAAATAAAATCAACCTTTTTATGTCTAATATGCATCTTTTAAGGAAAAATATTGAAATGGAAAGGCTAAAGTCGTATTACTAGAAGGATGTGCAATTTCAGGTTGGTGTCATATAGTAAACTCAAAGTTAGACTCCACACTTCACAAGACTAATAAACCAACAGGAAACCATGTGAGGTAACGTAAGGGCATACAACCGAAAGAATCAGATTGTGTCATCAGCTAACATAAGTACTATGAATCCTGCTATGTTGTTCTTCATATTACGCAGTAAGAATAACTGGTTTTCCAAGGGCAAGTCCTAGGAGTCTGACTGTGGAACTGATGTGCCAGTGGGGGATGGAGAGAAGTGTGTAGATTCCCAGTGTGGGAGGGTGCACAATGGATATGTGGGAGGGTTGTGGGTGTTATAGTGGTGGTTGTGGCATAGTAACATACATCTGAATAGGTGGGATCCTTTACTTCGGAATTCTATACAGTGCTGTACACTAATGTTGCTTTAATAAATGTGCACGTGTGTGCACACACACACAATTAAAATATTTGGGGAAAAAAGAATTGGTTCTCTTCCTAACAGGACATGTTGATATTAATAATTAAAACCCATGTGCTTCTTATTTAATTTAATCTTTCTGGTTTCAGTAATTGTTACCACTCTAGAACCACATAAAATTTAAAATACATACCTTCCAAAACTATCAACAGCATTTATATTTGCTCCCTTGCTTAGCAAAAACTCTATTAATTTATTTTTTTTTGACTCACAGCATATAAAAGTGGTGTATATCCAATCTGTAAACAACAAACACAATTTATGGTTTACAAAATCACATATTTTAAACTGAATTTTAAAACTTAAAAGAGATCTCCTGAACTCAAACCTATAAGAAAAATCAATTTAAAAGTAACCCCTTCCTTCTCACCAGTCACTTCATATGTGCTGTTCTTTCTCTTTAAAATACTTCTTTCTCTAGCCTCAACAGATGCAAAGTTATTGTCCAACACTCTTGTCAAGAATTTCTTGGTCCCAAGAATCTTGCTTCCACTACAGAATTTACCATGGTATACTTTAGTTATTTTATTCCTCACCATCTAAACCAAGAATTTCTTGAGGCCATAGGATGCTTGTTTTTTTTAAGCCCTTGTAGGGTAAAGAAAATGTCAGGCTTTTCTGCCCTCCCACCTCCAACCTACTTTTGGCAGAAGTTAAGGACTATGCTCCACTAGAAACATTCCACGATCATTTACTGCTTTAGAAAATTACAAAATATTACATGTCCAGTTCTAAAAAAATCTGTATAACTTTGCTGAATCCCTTTTGAACAATACTTTCTTGTGGCAAACATTAACATTTGAGGAATTAAGGGTTGCAGGGATCATTTTGAGAATTTTCTACTGAAGGTGATGGTTTTCTTCCAGTGCGGCACATTTTTTTTATTCCTTTAATTTTTGCTCTTTTTTATTTTTATTTTTTAATATTTTATTTTATATAATTCTTACATCATTTTTCATTTTTGCACAATATATGCATTTTCATTTTGGTTATATTCCACATACAATTGCACCACCCCATTATTTTGACCCTAATCCTTCCTCTTCCAGCCCCTCAGCACCCATAGTGTGTCTCTAGATTTAGTTGCTTGTTGATCTTGTTTTTTACTTTGTATTAATTAGTCTTTTTCCTGATCCCTTATTTAGGTTTTCTAAATTCCTGCTATGAGTGAGACCATCCAGTATTTTTCTTTTTCTTTCTGACTTACTTCGCTGAGCATGATGCCTTCTAGCTCCATTCATGTTGCTGCAAACTGCATGTGTTTATCTTTCTTGATTGCTGAGTAATATTCCATTGTCTATATGACTGGATCAAGAAGATGTGGTACATATGCACAATGGAATATTACTCAGTGAGGCACATTTACTTGGTTCTCTGCTATCAGTGGTACCTGGCACCCTAATGTCACTATCCGGCAATCTTACTTCACTTGGATTACTAAGGACATGGGCTCTGAATTTAAAAAAAATAGGCTTCAAATGAGTTCTGATTGCTTATTACTAAATGGTCCTTGGGTTGCCCCTATTAGAAGATGGAACTTTTTTATCTTACCTTAGTAAGAGAAAATTCATTTTTTAAAATTCACTTTTAGTCTGGTTTTCATTTTCATTGCCACTGAAAATTATTTTCTTTTTTTAGAAGAATGGGGACCAGAAATAAAAATACAATGTCCTCCATATGTTGAGAATTTGGCAAAAAAAACACAGAATTTTCCTTTACCAAATAAGAATTATGATTTGTAAACCCTGAAGAGCATCTGAGTAAATATAAACTAAAGGGGAAAAAACAGCTCTTCCCTCTATTGGAAATTACCCTGAATAGCCAAATTTCCAAGTTAGCCCACGTGTTTATGATTGCTCTCTTCCTTTTCCCTTTTCCCTCCTCAGGCTTGGCCAGAGAGAGAGAAATCATTTTATGAAAAATATTGTTTATGAAGCAAAAATTCATCATCAGCAGCAGACTTCTTTCATATTACTTTTGTTTTGAGTTTTAAAATAAAGACTATTTCTCAGGCAAATTTTGTTGCCCTGTGTTTTCATTATTAGGAAAAAAACACTGGGTTGAAAAAAATTTTTAAAAATAACCTTTAACCAATTCAGTGCACAAATACTTGGCAAACACCCCTATAAAAATGCTAAGCCCCTCTACTGTATCTTTTAGACACATTATTATTTAAAGTGGAATTTTAGACAATTATTTAAAGCCATTTTCATTCAGGGAGTGCGCGACCCTCCAATATGTACATGTGACCCACCTATGTCAGGGCTGTGGTTACAGAAGGTAATGTATGTCCAGATGGAAAAGCAGATCGAATGACTTCCCTTTCACCTGCTCCCCTGTACAGCTATGCCCCACTGATGAGCTATGCAAGAATGAGCAGGACTTCTTGCTGCGGGGAGCCCACAGTGGTTCAGAGCTGGCAGCATAGTGAGCAACACACGTGGATGCCCTTGTTCGATGTCAAGACATGACCTGACCCCTTGCCCTGATTTCGGAACCTAGGGTGCTGGGCCCTGACAGCCTGCTGCTTCTCTCCGTGGGTAACCATGCTGGCTGTGGCGTCTCAGTCCCCCCCGTACCCAGGCTAGTAGCACCCATTTCTTGGACCCAGCAGAGTACCTAGCACCTATCATGTCTTCAGTCTTTTGTGGGTGCTGAGCCTACACCCACTGCCAGGCACTAAGGAAAAGTTTTTCCAACAGGGGTGCATACGTGATGCAGTGACAGACTTTTGGCCTTTCCGTGGGCACCATCGTTCTCTAGATCTCCCTGACTTGGCTTCAGAGTTGTGGTGATAGGCCCTTGTGTATAGTCTTCAGGATAATGTATGCATGCATACATATCAGAGAGATATAGATAATAAAATGTTTTGTGGCTTAAAAAATGCAGTTCCTATGTTTTGTAAAAAAAAAATTACTTGGTCTATACCTTGTTTGGTACCTCAATATTTGCTTTGTGTAAAAGCAGCTTTGTTATTATGGACTCATTTTCATTTTGAACAGCATAGTGGAGCGCAGAGTTGCCATCAGCGTCCAAAATATCTGGATCAGCACCATGTTCTAGAAGAATACGTACACAATCTTCTTCCTGGTTTTGTACTGCCTGTCAGTATCACACAAAGAAATAGTAAATTCTAGGAATTAAGTTTAAACATTTTGTAGGTTTTGGCAATTTGCTAACTTAAATGAGGTTAATGTACTAAATTCATTTCCAGTCAAGTAAACTGAGTCAAATCCATCCCATGCTGGTTGAGTTGGCTACCACATACCTTCACCAGAGCTGTCCTGTGCTCAGCATCACGCAGGTTAAGGTCGCATTTTCTCTCTGCAAGCAGAGTGACCACTGCACTGTGACCATGGGCTGCGGCCAAATGGAGGGGAGTCCTATGAGAGTTAAAGGCACCTTTAGGAAATCATAGTGCAAGATCTCAAATACACCACTACTCTTGGAGCTATAAACATGAATGAGCTAGTTATTCCAATGTCTCCACAACATCATTTTCTTGGGGAAAAGGACATTTATTAGCTCTTCTCACTCACCACATTAATGAAAGAGCAGCCTGTTTGAATAGAAAAGCTTGACCTTTGGAGTCAGTACCACTGGACTTGAATCCAACTTTACTCTGTCACTTATCAGCTGTTTTAGCCTTTCTATGCTTCAATTTCTCTTCAGTGATAGGGGGATAAAACAGTCCTTGTTTCACAGAACACTGTGATGATATTACATGAGACTCTATGCAAAGTGTTCAGAATAGTCCCCAGCACAAAGAGCAACTCAATCTTATTAGATAATATTACTCGTATTACCACTAGCACCACTTTGTGAAGGCAATAACTCAATTAAATAAAATGATTCAAGTACACCAACTTTGCAGGTATATTTAGGTTTAGAGGGAGAACTGTCCTTCATTGATTCTAAGATGCTCCCAGCTTCTCACATTTAACCTCCTGACACTGGAATGCATAAATGTATAATTCATAATGTCTCATAACCATAATTAACAGCATTTAAAAAAGTCTCATTGCTACATCAAATAGTGGGGTATCACATCATCCACAGTATGGCACACTAAGTGAAGTATAGTATAAACAACAGGTCTGTTGCAGTTCTACTCATATGCTTGGCAGTTAAAGAAACTGTAATTGTTTTTATTTTTTTTCTTTACATGCATGCTTTATTCTATGTACAACAAACATTTTTTGCTTCCTCATTTTGTCCTTTCAAATTTCATGAATTATATTTAAAACATTAAGAGGCAAGAGAACTAAGTAAATAATTTTAAAATGATTCTTTTTAAATTTTTTAATTATTTATTTTTTACATCATTGTTCATTTTTAAACAATATTTGCTTTCCCCTCCCCAGGTGTAGTCCCCATAGAATTTCCTTCACCAATGCACCAGTGCATCATCACCACAGGCCCTTGGGTTCCTCCCTCCCACCCTCTGATCCCTCTCCCTCCTCCTCCCCTGCAGGATACCTCTGGCTTAAAATTATCTGGTTTTGTTGTGTTGTGTCAACAATCAAAAATGATAAACTAATTTTTGGATGGAGATGGAAAGAATTATGCTCAGTGAAATAAGTCAGAAAGAAAAAGAAAACCATATTGGATGGTTTCACCTATAGGAGGAATAGAGGGGACCCAAATAAGAAATCAGTGTAAAAAATAATAACAGTATAAAAAATGATTCTTGCTGCAGGGGGCCATTTTTGCCCCAGCCAGATAGGATACTGACAAACAGCTAAGAGAAAAGGCTTTACACCGTGGGGCTGAAGATCTGGCATAACTTTGTTTTTTGTTCTTGGTCATAGAGAGAGAAAAAATTATCAAAAAGTATATTAGGCAATAAATTATATGTATCAGCATACTATAAGTAAATAGCACGGAAAATTGTTTGTTTAGAAATTAGTTGTTGGGCACCTTGGCCCACTTGACAATGGGAGACGGTTTGTTGTGCATGCCCGACAAGCAATCCAGCACAACAATTGTAGTGGGTCCTTCTTTTGCCTTCTCTAGAAGTTTCTTGGGAAAGTTTTTAAAAGAATCTATTTGAGTTAGGAGTTTCTAAATAGAAAAAAGATCTGATAGCTGAGTAGCAGCCGGTCCCCAGCTGAAGGCCATGAGGATAAAAGGAGACTTTTCTTGCTTAGGCTTTGGCTAATAGGGAGGTACCAGTGGCTATCAACTGTCTTAGGTTATTGTTTAGCTGAAACAATGAGTTTTAGTGAAAGGCTTAGTTTTTTTATTAACCTTGAAGGTTGCCAGCTTACTGAGAGCAGGTAGAGGCCAAAAGCCCATAGAAAAAGAGATGCACTGATTGTTTCTGCTTTGCTTCTATGCACATGATAATGTAATCTCACTGCTTGCAAAAAATGTATAAATAAAAACCTGCTGCGCCTCTCGGCAGAAGATACTAACATCTCACCTAGTGCCGGTGTCTCCTCATTACCTCATCCCCTTCCCCTCAGTCCTTTCGTTTTCGCCAAGGACGTCTCATCCTTTCAGGAACCCCTGACATGACATTTTGCTGGGGGCTGGTCCCCGGCAGATTCTTATTACAAATTTTCAAGAAACTTTAGGCCAAAAGAAACTCATGATTCCTATGAATAGAAATGGCTTATTTTATGCACTATTTTTAGTGGTAAATGCTGTGAAAGTCAGTATGCCAATTATGACTATTAGTATTCAATCTTATTATACATTTTCAAATAGGCAAGTAAAGATTATCTTTTATAATTCCCTGCTTTTAGAAATGCTTTTGTTTCCAAGGAGGCAGGAAAAACTTCCACTGAGAATAGGTGATAATTCATTACTTCAGTTTGAAATTTCTCACCTTGCTCAGACTTGCCTTGTAGCTTTTAAGGATAAAATATGTAGAATATTTCTGCTATGTAATGATGATCAAAATTGGGTTGAATGAATGGATAAATACAGCTGGAGACTTCAATATGTGTATGATTTAATCTCCATTACTGTCCCTGGGAAAGTCATTACTCAAGTAGCAACCTTTCAAGTAGTGTAAACCAAGTCTATCTATGGGCGAACACTAAAGGCTGGGGAGTCAGTATAATCAACTTGAACAACCACCAGCTACAGCATCTAAGAGAGCTGAGGCTGCCACTCATTCAATGCTTTAAAAAAAGAAAAAAACTTTTAGGAAATAAAGCAAAATATTTGCTATAACAATAATCATCACTGACAATTATTTGTAACAATAATAATAGTAATTGTCATCATATATGCCTACTATTTATATTTTCATAAATATGCCAGTAAAATAACATGACTGATCTATAATTGTTTATAAAGTTATTATAATCTATCTATTTAAATATGTACATAATAATCAGCAAGTAAATAGAGAGAAGAACAAAGACCCCGGAGACACGCACACAGCCCGGGCTGCCAGTAAGCTTGCGCGGATAGCGGCGCGCTCAGCGCGCTTGAAAAGCAAGTGCAGACCAGGATCGCGGCTGCCCAGGTCCCCGCGCCTGCGACCTAGGCTTGGGAGACGACCTAGGCTTGCGGGGAGACACATGGAGGTCCTCACTGAGGTGAAGGTCCCTCCCTGAGTAAGCAGGAACCAGGCTCCCAGGCACGGGAGCGGTGCAAAAGGCGCCATTCCCGCGCCACTGAACTGGGCTACAGCCCGCGTCCTGGAACTGAGGGCTTTGAAACTGAGACCCGGGGCATGAAATTAGGAGCGTGGGTTCCCCACGATGGTGGGACACAAGGCAGACACAGCACCCCAAAGCCGTTGAGGTGTACCCTACCATCCCCGCTCTGCTCCCTGTCCCACGGGGTGGAAAATCAGCTCCCCAAGGGCTCTAGGAGAGATCTTTGGCGCCACCTAGCGACTTGTAGACAGCACAGGCTCCTGAAGGAGCTATTGGCCAGCTGGGGAGTTAGCCCACACCCGGCCCCTTCCGAACAAGTAGTCTGAGCACACAGGGAGAGCGAGCACCCACAGCCAGGGCAGACCAGGCACGCAGAAGAGTGTGCCTGACACCGGACACGCAGGGAGTGTGTCCCACATCACCATTTTAGAACAGGGACATTTCTTCAGTAAAGACTACCTGCAGAAGGCTTCCTCAGGAGCCAGAGGTGAGCGGGGGAAGTTCGCCCACGCCAGACCCCCTCTGGCCTGCAGTCCAAGCCCAGAGGGGGAGCAGGAACCCACCGCCGGGGCAGACCAGGCGCACAGGGGAGTGTGTCCCCACATCGACATTTTAGGACAGGGACCTTTCTCCAATAAAGACTGCTTGAAACTGACAGATGACTCCTGGAGGAACCAGAGGGGAGAAGAGAAGCCCACCCAAGATGCCGGCCAGTCCCAACAACACAGTGTCCCAACGCATATGGCAAATTAGAAAACAGACAGTAGGGAGGAGAAGAACCACACGCAACCTAGCAACTCTCCAGAGAAAAAGCACACCACAAAAAGAAAACCAGCCCCCAGATTGCAACGACAGTAACTTGGAAGAACTTCTGAGCCTTCCAGAAAGAGAATTTAAAATTGCCGTGATCAAAAAACTGACAGAAGTCATAAAGGAAAACAATGATAAGGGAAAAATAATCAACGATCAGAAGAATGAAATTGAGTCCCTAAAGAGGGAAGTAAAAGAAATGCAGGAGATCAAAGAATTAGTGGAAGAACTAAAGAATTTTCTGGGAAAAGCAATGAAAGCAGAATTGATGAAATGGAAGAACGAATAAGTGCTCTTGAAGACACAGAAATAAAAAGAAGCAAAACAGAAAAGGAAAGAGAAGTACGAAGGAATAAGAACGAAGAAAGACTTCGGGAACTATCTGACTCCATGAGGAAAGGAAATATAAGAGTTATAGGAAAACCAGAAGGAGAGGAGAGAGAAGTAGGAACAGAGAAAATATTCAAAGAGATAATTGAAGAGAACTTCCCAAATGTGAAGAAGGAGCTGAAAATTGATATACAAGAAGCAAGAAGAACACCAAACTTCCACGACGAAAGAAAAAATACAGCAAGACACATAATAGTAAAGCTCCCAAGAATCCAGGACAAGGAAAAAATAATGAAGCTGGCAAGAGGGAAGAAACAGATAACATTCAAAGGAAAGCCAATCAGGCTGACATCAGACTTCTCCGAAGAAACACTACGGGCAAGGAGAGAGTGGAGGGACATAGTCAACAGACTCCAAGAAAACAGATGCCAACCAAGAATACTCTATCCCGCAAAGCTCTCCTTCCTCTTTGAAGAAAGAATATGGACCTTCCCAGACAAACAGAAACTCTGGAATTTCATTGCAACTAAACCCCCACTCCAAAAAATACTACAAGGAGTCCTAAAGCCAGAACCTCAGAGGGACGAATAACAATGAAAGAAGGCCAAAAAAAAAAGTTATTAAAA